TTTGAATGTTATTAATGTTTTTCTCATGTAGAATTTGTTAAAACAGACAAAGCAACAGCAACATCTAGATTTGCATTAGCTTATAATTTTTTCACCAGTCAGATGGCAAGCCACTTCTTTTACATTAACCCACTCATGTCGACAATACATAGAACATTAGCGGAGTTTAACCTCTGCCCCTTCGAAAATCCTCCACGTATAGTCGTATGGTAGACTTAGTATTATTCTGCATTAGTTGGACTTTAGCACAGAGCTCTAGTTTGTGTGTAAAACCTGAGGATGGGTCCAGAGAGAACCCGCACTGATCAATTAAAAGCCGATCGATTTTCCCCCGAGGCTGTTTCAGCGATTGCAGTTGGAATGTGGGAATTACATCCAAAGCTTTTCCCAATGCACCTGCTTCAATATCAGTGGAATGAAAAGGATTACTGTATATACACGCCAGACCTGTAGGTATTGCATGCATGGAAAAAGACTCCGGTGAATACAAAAAACAGAGCTGATAAGTGGCATCATTGTTTTATATTATAGTATTGTGGTTGTGGAATATTTTAATTTGACAATGCAACAAAGAATGGCCTGATAAAGTAAGTAGTAGTAGTAAGTAATCCAAGTTTTGTCCAAGTAATAAAGGAGTTATATTCTTCACTTCTACAGTTTCCCTTGAATTCTTTGGACGAAGTGCGAGTTAAAATGTTATGGTGCATTATATGAAGTCTTTTCCTGGAGAGCCCCTGTAATTTTCAAGGATCAAACTCATTCCCGTCTCTTTTAGTGTCTATTTTTTACTCAAATATTCTCTCCACTTCTTTTCCATGTTTTTGGAGACATTAAGTTCCAAAGAGCTTTCCAATCCCAGCCAAATGTGACTTAACCGGCTGATGGTACAAGGACAGCACATTCTGCCATTTTTTAGCACTAAAATTCTTACATTAGGTTCTTTTTTGTAAAATGTATTTGATCTTGAACATTCTAACGTATATAACAACAAAAGAAAAAAAAAACTACTTCTACATTTAAACAAGATACTGTAAGGTCTCTACTGCCACAGGTATCGTTGTCGGTGTTGATGGAAAACAAAATGGGGGATAAACCACACCCCTGAGGGACCCCTGTGTTTGATTTCACCCTGTTTACCACCACATTACGGAGTCTATCTTTGATGGGTTGACCTGCATTTCTATTGGGTTGACTTGCGTGGCACAAGGGGTCCACAGTGTTGAAAGAGAAGAAAAAAAAAATCACAGTATCTGAGTGTGTGGACGTGCCGTTACAACACATTCGCACGCTGTATCCCATAAGGTCACACCGACATCCTCCGCACTTTGCTTTGCTCTATAAGTAAACTGAAATTGATCATGTTGGTCTGGTATACCATTTCTTTAAGATGCTCCACCACCCCCTCCATGCATTTGCAGAGGGTGGAGGTCAGTATCGCTGGCCTATAGTCTTGTAGCTCTATGTTTCTCTCCCTGTACTTGTCAATCTAAAAAAACTGAGGAACTTTTTAGCATAAAGCCAAAATAAGTGTCTTCTTTTGACACAAGTGCTTTTATGAATTCTGTGGAGAGCAAATTTAGGTATATTATTATGGGTAATTTGCGGTGAAGCTGCATTATCCCATTTTAAAATCTTCAGTATGCAATTATCTGTAGCCTCAAGCTCCTAAACCACCAAACTGCAGTGAGAAATCCAAAAGTGCTTTTTTATTTATTTGCATGGAAATGGACGTTACATTTTGCAGCAAAGTGGTGCAATATTTATATAAACTACACTATTCTGGAGTTCTCCTTTTGAATCTATATAACACTGAGTCCAAATGGGGGTCTTTCTATAAAGCACAACAGTGACCGTCTATCTCAGCAACAGGCATTTTAATTGTGTTTTTTAATTTTTACAGCTGAAAATAACAGTGCACTCCTCACACTTTCACTTGCCACGTACCTACTTTGTTGTGTCTCATAATATTTTAATTTTGGGAAACGCCTTGGAGAAACTGAATGGACAACTTCCCTCTAGACCCCAGGGAAGTGGGAGGCACTGCTAAACACTGTTAATTCAATTCACAATATTAAGCACAACTATGCCAACACAAGATGCAGAGAACTTTTCAGACTGTTGCTTTATGAAACAGCACACAGCAGGATGTGAACCATATAGTTATAAATTACTGTACGAAAAAAGGGATAATTTCCATCCTTTCAGAGCAAACTTCACACATGTTTTAATGGACTGTTTGGTCATTGGAGCTGCCCTTTACTGCCCACAGAGCACAGGAGCAGACGAGCCTGGGTCAGAGAGAAACATATAGGTTCCATCACTTTAGTCGTCTGTGCAGAGAGAGTCTGACACCTTCGATGCTGCGCTCTATAAAAGATGCTTTATGCTCAGACTGTGGATTCACCTTGAAAAATTGCAAACAGAGAAATGTAATTTTTAATAAAAAGAAGGCTCTTTGCGGAGTTAAAGAGCCTGGACCAAAACATTACACTTATTTTATTACATTTATTACATTTTTAAAGTGGAAGAAACAAAAGGGTTTAATTTCGTTATTAAGTCCAGTCTGAACCTGAAGACTTGAGGAAATGAGTCTAATGTGCTCCTGTCTGGTTGGAATGAACCTGCGGCCACCCCACCCCAACCCTTCGAGGACAGATAACCTCCAAGAATTCACTTAATTATCACAACTAACGTATAACTAGTTACTCTCAAAATAGTTCTCATCTGCAACTTTATCAAAGAGCGACTAAACCAGAGCCAATGGTCAGGCACAACATTCAAATGCAGTGCCACCAAAAAGGTAGAGAGGGCGCTACAGACGGCTTTAGGCTCAAAAGTGAGATTTTATCTAATTTGCACTAAAATGTGAAAACATGACCAGGACTAGAAGAGAGCACTAAAAGAAAGATAAGAACGTTTTTTAAGCAGTTTATAATAATAATAATAATATTTTTTATAGAGCACTTTAAAAACAACACAGTTGACCAAAGTGCTGAACACAAGGAAAAACACAATATAATATAGAAACATATACAAGAATACAAATTGCACAGAAAGTCAACCCACTGAGTTAAAAGCCAAAGTAAAAAGATGAGTCTTAAGAAGCGAGGCAGACCAATATGCAGAGGCAGACCATTCCACAGTCTGGGGGCTGCTGCTGCAAAAGCCCGCTCCCCTCTCGACTTCTTTCTGGTCTTAGGACCACTAGCCTGGTCTGCTGATCTTAGAGCCCGTGACGGAGTGTGGGGCACAAGCAGATCAGTCAGATACTGAGGGGCCAATCCATGCAAACATTTGAACACAAATAACAGAATCTTAAAATCAATACGAAGGTGCACAGGGAGCCAGTGAAGAGAACAAAGAATATGAGTTACAAAAAGTTGATTTTGTGTTTAGTTGTCCTGTAAAATGTTCAACTTTAAGAACCAAATACGTGAAGTATTGAGAACCAAAAAACAAGTAAATCTGCACTAGACGAACAATCACATGAAGTCCAGTAAGCAATCCGTAAGTAAGTAAGTAATGTTTATTTATATAGCGCATTTTACAGACCAAGGTCACCCAAAGCGCTTTACAATGTTCAGAGTTCAGATATTGTTCCAATCCTTTCACACACGGTGATGACGGAAGCGAGTCGCCGAACACACTGGACCATCAGCCCCCAATCAACACCATCCATTCACTCACTCATTTACATTCATACCTATTGTGCATGTTTTTAGTGGTAGGGGAAACCGGAGCACCAGGAGGAAACCTATGCAGACACGGGGAGAACATGCAAACCCCACTCTTGCTGAGAGGCGAGAGTGCTATCCACTCAGCCACCGTGCCACCTGTGTTTGTAAAAACTCAAATTCTGGGCCTGTGTCGGTTTACACTTTTCCATTTGTCTAATGTGAGTCCATGTGAGGTTTAATACAGTATTATTCTCTTTAGTGCATTGTCTCGTCATGCACATTTGATAGAGCCCTTCATGGATCAGCTTTAAAACTAAACTCAGACTATGGCAAAAATTTTAAAACAGGACTCTGAGCATTGCTGTTCTATTTTTTCTGATGTGCTATCAAATAAATAAACAAACCTCGCAGTCCGGCTTTGGATCAGTTCAGAAAAAATCACAAACTGCACCAATCCGCCCTAGACCCGGCCCTTTTTGAAAGAAACGGCTGAGTTTATCCCGGTGAGGCCCTGGAAAAAAGGCTCAGCAGTGATCACAGCTGCTTTATAAAACACAACAACACTATTCCGCTGCTGTGGTTAAGGTCTAGGTCAAAGTTATTGATCCCTCGTGAGAGAAATCACTCTTCTGCCTTTCACCCGTTCAGCCTGGGCAACTGTCACGGGCTGGAGCCACTGCAGAAGCTCAGTCTATTAGCAGCATACAACAGAGAGATCAAAGTGAAAGACAAGAAATAAATTATTACACGTTATATACGTTAAATATGGTTTGTTTCTGTAATCTGAATCAGAACCAGAATTTTTGTTTTTATTGTTTAAAAGTCACAAACTAGGAAATTGCTTTGACTCTCGGTGTAAACAAGTTAGGAGGTAAAAATCCAGTAAGCTATGCATAAAATCAAAACTCATAAGGTTTTATTAAAATCCTTTCTACATACGAGTGCACTAAGTAGACACAATAGACGTATAGCAGTGCACAGGTTTTACTTTGATTTCACTAAGTTTGAGAGTAAACGCCACACTTAAAACTGAAAAAGTTCTCAAAAAGTACTGATGTGTCAAGTATCTGAGGAGTCAAAGTTGATTTAAATGACCAAATAGGATAAATATTTAATACAACTTCCCCTCATGTTGGTCTGAAGAACCTTCACTGGAACATATTTTGTGGAGGATCTGGAGAAAACCTACCCCCAGTTCTGAAAGCAATTCTATTCCAAAATCACATATTGAAACTATCATTTTGGGTTTTGCTCAGACTTTGGCAGGTCCGCGCTTGAAAAAATAAAATCCGTATCGATCGAACGAGACGAGATTCCTCTGCGTCACACCGACACGAAAGACACAGCCACATCCTCGGCTCGCTCATAATCTGTGCGTTCCTGGAGAGGCACAAAGCAAACACGTCTGCTCCCAGCTGCAGCCTCCATCTCCGTGTCCTTCATCCAGACCCAGAGTGGAACAGGCTTAATGTGATGGCCCTCCAGCTCCGCACAGCTCCCAACACCCACTGGAGAGCTCATCACGCCACGAGCACCTGCCAAGAGGGAGAATGACCCACGAGTAGAGCATCATTCGGAGATGTGTATGTAAACAGTGACGGTTGAAGTGATCGGATAAAGCGGGTAATTAAAGGATATGAAGAACTGAGGCGGCTGCTCAACTACATTACTGATGGAAAGGAGCGAGTCTTATATGCTATCTGTGTGCTATGGTTTGGGGTTTTTTACGTTAAGAGATGATTAATAAGTCGCACAGAGGGGAAATTTCAGTGTTGTATCACCAGTTACAGGACTGTAAGAATGCACACAACATTAAAAGAACTGACTCTATACTGAATAGAATAAAAAAATTGCTAACTCCAGAATGAAAAATAAACAGGTATAACATCTATATCTTTAGCATAATGACTGCACACATACACACACAAAGACACACACACACACACGCACACACACGCACACAATGGATCTATAATCATAACTGGATAGGGTATTACTAGCTTATAGCTGTGCCCACCCACGGACACAGGGGGCGCCCGTGGTACTGCCAGGCCCTGTAGACAGGACAGGGCCTGGTTAGTGCTGTGATGGGAGACCTCTGGGAACACCGGGTGCCACAGTGTAGCGGCTGTGACTGTTATGTCCTTAGGCAAGACACTTCACCTTCATTGCCAAGAATGAGTCTGGTGTGTGTGTGTGTATGTGTATGGTTGCCTCGGTGCTGGCTGTGTGCCCCAGGGCAGCTATGGCGACAGTAGTAGTTTGAATGTCAAAAAAGCCGCTACATAAAACAGAAAATCTGTGATTTAAACATTGTACCCCATGCAACAAACGGACCATGGTAAAAAAGTTGCAAAGTAAAAATACAAAATAAAAATAAAATGTCATTATAAAAAGAAATCCATAAATCACATTCAAAAGAAAATCTCCAACACATTTTCAAGTGTGGTGAGAAATGGCCGTCACCAAAACTTTCTGTGTTTTTGCGAACGAGGCGATGTATTCAAAGGGGACTTGATGGCTGAAGCTGCAGACAGGAGGGTCTTATCGTCAGCCACAGTCTGCTCCTGATCACGGCTCTGGGCTCTTCATATCAGCTCTGTGTGACTGTGGAAGGTACTTTACACTAGATCTCTGTCTTTTGAACATCATGAGGAGGCACTAAGTTTGCTGTTTACGTCTTTCATTTGCTGATAATGGAGCTCCCTCTGGCTCGCAGCGTTCGGAGTCAGAATCTAAGAAAGTTTTTATTGCTATTATAGTTCCCAGACTAGAGTGGTGAATATGGTGGCACATAACAAAGCTACAGTAAACACCAGAGACTGATGGGTAATAGAGCCATGGATCCGAGGCTCTCTGAAGTCTAATGTAAAACATGCACTTGCCATCTTGATTTGTGGTCTTAGATTTAATTGTATCGCACATTTACAACCCCAGCTGCCCAACATGCTTCACAGGCACGAAAGATACAAAAAATAAAAGCAAACAGCACAACATTCATACAAATGCATGTCAAAAGTAAAAAAGTCGGTCTTCATCAGAGATATAGCATTGTTTTTTATGCAGTGGTCTCACACTCAAGTGGCCAGGACAAGGAAAGCTAATGTTTTGAACTATTTCTTACATAGGAGAGTAGAGAAGAGAAGAGACGGCATTTATGTAACTCACTCATGTGTGTGCTTATATAAGAATCCACTTATATCGTCTATATAGTACAAGAAAACATGTGTTTCTCCTCTGCTTCTGAGTCATGTTTTTTCTCATGTTGGCTTTTGTATAACATGTGTTCAGTTTGTTGCAAAAAAGAAAGAATTTATATTATCTTCTTTGCATTTAGCATTGTCCAAGGCCACATTCAAATCCACTGTGTCTTGTTGTTGATCAATTCAAAAAGTATATATATTTGACTATGAAAGATGTTTTTTGCAACTTTCAAAGTGCAGAAAAGAAGTTGAATCTTGGACGTGGATGTGGACAAAGAAATAATCAAAACTTTCCACTTCACCAACAAAGAAACACGGATGGGCCGCTTGCAGACGACACAAGACTAATGTATAAAGAATTTTAATTTCTTTCACTGATTACATTTCTCAATTGGGCCAAACATATCGACTGGATTTGATCAAGTTGTTTTGCTTTCGGACGCAGGGTCACCGGTGAAGCCCAAACATGGCCGCCGGCACGCCTTTTCTCTCTCTGTTTGACTAATTACCAAGCAGACCCAGCACCTTTTCCAATTTTTCCCTCTTTCATTTAAATTATTTTCCTTATTTTTCTTCTCCGGACACGACCGCTCCGCCATGACATCTGAGCTTGATATTTGCATTTGAATTAGCGCTGCAAATTGCCCCATCGATCCGTCTTGCAATTACCTCCCATCCTTCCACGTTTGCACATTTTCCCATAAGTGTTTTTTAAACTTCTTCCAGGGAGTTCTTCATCACGCGGCCATTTTGACTTTGGCATTTTTCTTCAACTTGTCCTGGTTTTTAGGACTCCATCATTCTCCAGTCAAACGGCACCTTGACCGAGGGCATGCAGAGGTGGCGAGTAATGCACAATACATGGGCTGGCGTAAAATCCATACGCTGCAAAGTAAATCTCATTCTTCATAAACCCATCCATCGGCCAGTTCTTATCGATGCTGATGTCGGAGAGTTTGGGAGAAGCTGACGATGATTGTACAAAGGTCTGGTCGAAATGGTTAGTGTTTCAATGCTACAAGCAGAGAAGACACCAATGGGAGCTGGGGCTGGTAATGTTGTGATTCCTCCCTGCTGCTCCCCCCTCCCCCTCCTGTTGGGTTCCTCATCACACTCACCTGCAGAGCTCCACACCTGATCATCATTCCCACAATCACCAGATGCAACATAAAAACCAACCTGACCTTGTCTCCAGTGCCAGATCGTCCCATCACACCAGTGTACCCAGCTGTGGCGCCTGTACCTTCTTTCTCAGTCCCGTTCCTGGTCCCGTCTTGGTCCCGTCTTGGTCCTGCCCTGGTCCTGCCCTGGTCTTGCCCTGGTCTTGCCCTGGTCCCGTCCTGTGTCCTTTTTAACCAGGCTCTTCCTATTTGATTTTTGTTAATAAATCTTGTCAACTCTGCATTTTGGGTCCACCCGTTCTTACATCTAACAGAACGATCTGGCCACAACATGGACCCAGCAGAGCCGGACTCGATGAGGAACGTGATTGCCTCTCAGGGCAGTCTACTTGGACAACACCACAAGATTCTACAAAGTCTGCAGGAATCAAATCAATCTCTCGGTACCCAAGTTACGGACTTAACCAGGTTAGTGGAGCAAATTTCTAATCAACTGGCTGCCCAGTCTGTCTCCCAGCTCGCCTCCCCAACCTACACCGCTGACTCTACTGGTGCCTCTGCTGGAATCCCTCCCCGTGAAACCCCTGTGCCACATCCTGAGCCATATACCGGAGACCTGGGCAAAAGTAAGGGATTCCTGCTGCAATGTTCCACAGTCTTCACCTGCCAGCCCGTCACATTCTCTACTGACCATTCTAAGGTAGCCTTTATAACTGGTTTGTTGCGTGGAAGAGCTCTTGATTGGGCTGAGGCTATGTTAAGTAGTGGAAGGAGCATGCGCTATTTTGATTTCATTGAGGACTTTAAGAAGGTTTTTGCACACCCAGAGTGTGAGGCTAATGCAGCTAAGGGGCTACTAGATCTCCACCAAGGCAACAAGAGTGTGGCTGACTATTCCATTCAGTTCCGGATCCTGGCGGAGGAATCTGGGTGGAACGAAGCCTCACTGAGAGGGGTATTTTGGCGTGGCTTAAATGACTCGTTAAAAGATGAACTGTCTGTCCGTGATGATCCCAGGTCCTTGGAGGATTTAATTTCCCTCTCTATCCGCATCGATAACAGACTGCGTGAGCGGCGACGAGAGAGAGCCCCCCGTACTACCCAATCTCTCTCATTCCGTCCATCACATCACCCTAACTCAGTTCAACCAGTGAATAATTGGCCAGTTTTGGCTTCCAGTTCTCAATCCCCAGAGGTTCCCATGCAGATTGGTAGAGCAGAGCTGACAGTGGAGGAGAGGGCACGGAGAATCAGAACCGGAGATTGTTTTTACTGTGGACCAGGAGATAGAGCCTGACCCAGGGGGGGGTCCGCCTACCAAACTCTATGTTCCTGCGACTGTTCGTGGTGAGGTCTTGCAATGGTCCCATAACTCCACTTTTGCCTGCCACCCAGGGGTGAGTCGTACTTTGTCTAGTCTCCGGCGGCACTTTTGGTGGCCCTCTATGGAGGCTGATACCCGAAGTTTTGTCTCTGCTTGCACTGTATGCTCCCAGAACAAGTCCTCACATTTACCTTCTTCTGGTCATCTCAGACCTCTGCCCATTGCTAACCGCCCATGGTCGCATATTGCGGTAGATTTTGTGACTGGTCTTCCACTATCCAATGGACAGTCTGTTATCCTGACCATAGTGGACAGATTTTCTAAGGCAGCTCACTTTGTTGCACTTCCAAAATTGCCAACAGCTCGTGAGACTGCAGACATTATGGTGCAACATGTCTTCCGACTTCATGGCTTCCCTGCTGATATTGTTTCTGATCGTGGTCCCCAATTTGTTTCCCAAGTGTGGAGGGCGTTTTGTCAGTCGCTTGATACAACGGTCAGCTTGTCCTCTGGCTTCCATCCACAGACAAATGGTCAGGCTGAGAGGACAAACCAGGACTTGGAGTCTGCTCTCCGCTGTGTGGCCTCTCGCAACCCGTCTTCCTGGAGTTCACACTTGCCATGGGTAGAGTACGCACATAATTCCCTGACTTCCTCTGCTACTGGTCTCTCCCCTTTTCAGTGCTCCTTGGGTTATCAACCGCCCCTCCTCTCCATGGATGAGGTTGAGGTAGCCGTGCCCTCTGTCCAGTCCCACATGCGGAGGTGCCGGAGGATCTGGAAGGAGACCAGAAGGGCCCTGTTACGGACATCGTCCCGCAATAAGTCCCTGGCTGACCGCCATCGCCGTCCTGCCCCAAAGTACACTCAAGGTCAGAGAGTATGGTTATCTTCCAAACACATCCCATTGAAGACAGATGCTAAGAAACTGTCACCTCGTTTCATTGGTCCATTTGTAATCGAGAGGGTCATTAATCCTGTTTCTGTTCGTCTTAAGCTTCCGAAAGCCTTGAGGGTACACCCAACGTTTCATGTATCCCAACTAAAGCCTGTGTGTACTAGTGTTCTGTGCCCTCCTTCCGCGCCCCCTCCACCCCCCCGGTTGGTTGATGACCTCCCTGCCTATACGGTGCGAAAGATCCTGGACGTCCGTCGGCGTGGGCGGGGTCTCCAATACCTAGTCGACTGGGAGGGCTATGGTCCTGAGGAGCGCTCGTGGGTTGGCCGTGCTTCGATCCTGGACCCTGGCTTGCTGAGGGAGTTTCATCGCTCTCATCCTGATCGGCCTGGTAGGGCGCCAGGAGGCGCCCGTTAGAGGGGGGGTACTGTTGTGATTCCTCCCTGCTGCTCCCCCCTCCCCCCTCCTGTTGGGTTCCTCATCACACTCACAGCTCCACACCTGATCATCATTACCCAGCTGTGGCGCCTGTACCTTCTTTCTCAGTCCCGTTCCTGGTCCCGTCTTGGTCCCGTCTTGGTCCTGCCCTGGTCCTGCCCTGGTCTGCCCTGGTCTTGCCCTGGTCCCGTCCTGTGTCCTTTTTAACCAGGCTCTTCCTATTTGATTTTTGTTAATAAATTTTGTCAACTCTGCATTTTGGGTCCACCCGTTCTTACATCTAACAGGTAATGCCTGGATAACGGTAAAAGTCAAGTTGTGAAAAGGCCTGCACCATTATAGGAACTTCTTTGGCCAAAATTATATGGAGGATATTTACTGTATTTTCAAATCTATAATTAGGAAACAAGAAAAGTTCATATGAAAAGCCAGTTAAATAATATGCCATGCTTTCACAAAGGTGTGAATTGAACTATATTCTATCCTCTCCATCTATAGTGGCCATAAAGACATGTAAGAGACACATTACAAGTACTTTAAATAAGTGAATATTAATAAATAATGTATTATATGTATTATACTCGTAACCGATTTTTCATAAATATTTAAGACATTTAAACTAGATGTTTGTTTGAAGCCAGGCATATTGTCGACTAATACTACTACGTACAAAAAACTGTATTATTTAATGCAGCCATCCACGTTTTTCTTCCGCTTTATCCGTTGCCGGGTCGCAGGGGCAGCAGTCTATAATCCCAGACGCCCAGATAGTAAATATTATTGTACATTGAACCCACTAGTTGTTAGTTAAGGTCAGGTGTCCAGCCCAGAGGAAGCCCCTGTATTTCCTGCAGACTGAGAGGACAGAGGCTGTTCCCGGGGCTCGCAGAGGTGACCCTGGCTGACCGGGACAGGCCTATATTTGCCGAACGTGGCTCCATCCGGTTGTGATGAGGAGATCAGTATGGGACACCTGCGCTGCTGTCTGCATCTGCCCCTCTGCTCCTCCTGTCGCCCGGAACCACACATCCCAGCTGCTAGGAACTGTGGGAATGTGTTGGCTGAGTGGGGACTTCCAAGGACAAAATCAACAAAGAACGTGATTTCCAATTAAACATATTCAATTTAATTTTATTATTTCCATTTTTGTCTAGCCTTTGATCACAACAGTAGTTATCTCAGAAGACTTAACAAAACTGTTGAATTCACCATAAATAAGAGAGTTAAACTGTTAAAAACATGTATAAAATATGTAAGGGATAATGTATAGAATGCAGATCATTATCCGAAAATAAGTACCGACGGACGCCCTGACTTCAAAACTAGAACTCTACATGAACGGAAGAATTCTGAACATCAGCGGTGAGTGACCCATATGAACCTAAATCCATCATTCGATCCTCTGCAAATGTGTCTTCAAATGTTATTTCATGTTAATGGTTACTTCCGGGTTTACCACTATCGCTTTTTGTCACATTAAAACAGTATCATGAAAACGTTAAAGTCGATAAATGTCCGTGAATGTGGAGAGTCCCGGATCCTCACCACTGTCCTTAGACCAACTTGCATCGAAAAGAAAAAACTAAAATAGGAATTAGAGAAAGTACATTTAGGAGTCATCCAACAACTCTAAATGTACTTTCAGTGGTTATTTTTATGTATAAAGTTACTTTTTTGCCACAAGGTATTCTTCTGCTGCTGTGATCTGCCAGCAGGGCTTTTGGAAAGCAAAAGTTGCAGAGAGGTCATAGACGGCTTCTTTTGGTGCACAACAAATATTCTCACAATGAGCAGCCTATAAAACATAGTAAGGAGATAAAGGTACTCCACTGAACTGTGTCTCCTAAATAACTTTGTAGAAAACTAGTTGAACATAAATCACTAATACAGTTTAAGGTTGTTTTTTTACCATGAGACGGTATGATACGTACTTAGATAACGGGGGCTTTCAATTCGATACAATTTTATATGATATATGTATTTCTCAACGGTACATTTCAGTCAAAAATTAATGCTTTGGGGCCCTTATCTAACGCTCTACAGAAACAGAACAATATTTATGTATTTTGATTGCCGTGACGTATGTATTGCGCCCGGGTGAGTCGCTAGCATTAAGCCTAGCTTTAGGCATCTCCTTTGCCACTAACGGAGCCCGTGGGGAGTAGAGCCACAACACATCGAGGCGACAGTAGGTCAGTTGGTAGAGCATTGGCCTTTGAGCCAGAAGGTCGTGGGTTCGAGCCTGACCTTCACCATCGACTCCCACTGTCTGCTGTCGTTGTGTCCTTAGGCAAGACACTTCACCCCCATTGCCTAGAATGAGTCTGGTGTGTGTGTGAATGGTTGGTGGTGGTCGGAGGGGCTGATGGTACATACTGGTTGCCTCGCTTCTGTCAGTGTGCCCCAGGCAGCTGTGGCTACGGTAGTAGTTTATCACCACAGTGTTTGGAGTGAAAGAATAATTACATGTAAAGCGTCTTTGAGTGTCCAGAAAAGCTCTGTATAAAACATCTTTGCCAGAAATCACATTTGCTAAACATCGCTCTTTCTCCGGCTTCAATTTCTTAATATTTGGGGCCAAACCAGAACGGATTCTTTACTATTGCATTTTTCGCCATCGCCAAACTATAACCAGAAAGTTTGACGAAAAGCCTTTGACGTCACCAACACCTGCCTACAACACCTGCCTCTCCCGCTCGCTGAATGGTCGGACGAGATTCAACCGAGGTCACTGCAGCCGCTAAGATCAGACCCAGACGTAAATGTAGGGAAATAATAAATGACCGGAGTTTATGGATGGCTCATGCCAGGGTACTACTGATAACTAGCAATACTCACTTTTTGTTGTCACCGCTAACATTTCTGAACAGCAACAGACGTCTTCATAACCTCTGTATAATTGTAACAGTGCACTTCAGCTGTTTTCAAAAGTTAAGGTCATCAACTGTTGTCGCTTGCACAAAAGGCCAAACCCCTTTTTTAACTGGACCACATCCATCCACACAACATGGAGAGCTGCTGTCTCATGCAGACCCTTGGAGTCTGTGTCAGGCCAAAAGCAGTGGGTGGTTTCTCCGGTCATTATGACAAGTCCTGGCCTCCTGACCTCCTCAGCACCTCCTCATTCTGATGCCTCCACAATAGATGCATCATTAAAACACACTGCGGTCAGAAGTCAGCCAGGCATCGCTGAGAGGTCGCAGGAAATCTCGTACAAAGCCAATAAAGAAGGAAAAGCGGACAGCGGGGAAGTACTAAGCAGGTTACTAGAATGTTAAACTTCACACAATATGTTCACGGATCACAAGAGAAACGTTTTGAAGTTATTTTTAAAGGAAAAAAAATGTTAAAGTATTCACTAAAAGCTGTGATTGTGAAGGGTGCAATGAAGTGAAGATGACAATATTCAAAAATATATAATATTCCATTCAATTCAATTAAATGCATTCTTGTATAGCCCTAAATCACGACAGCAGTTATCTCGGAGTACTTTAAAAAGGTTGAATTCACAAACACAGATCAGAGAATTAAACAGTTCCAACTCAAGAAATGCAATGATGAAAACACATAGAGATATTGGTCCATAAGGGGCAGATGACCAATGTCTGTAAGTGTTGAGCTAAAATTGGCTGAATGACACATTTTATAACTTTTATACCTCAAATAAAGTCAACCACTAGATTCAAGAGGGCAGAGCTTTACCATGAGGCCTAACATGTTTGAATTGGCGTAGCTGAAGTTGGCTGGATGACACTGTATACTTTGGGTTAGCAGAGGGCCACAAAACACGACACAGACCTTGACCAGCCTGGTATAAGCACCACATTTATGGTCCAAAAATGTAACTTTTTTATCGTTTTATTGTTTTTTATTGCCAATAACTGTTTTAAATGGGCTTAAACAAAATGCACATTTAATAATGACTCTACGTATTCAAGCTCCACACTCCACACTCGCTCCCGGCAGCAGCAGCAGCAGCGGCAGCAGCAGCAGCGGCAGCAGCAGCAGCGGCAGCAGCGTCTGACTGCGCTGTGCCCTTGTGCTGTGACCTCTGGCTCGGTCTCCAGGAGCATGATCCAGGAGGCGTGAGATGTGTGTATAAACGCGTGCAGATCAAATTAAAAGAATGATTTCCCTGTCGACTGCTTCCCCCTCGCTGCCGCCGTAAAGTTCACGTGGCTTTACTATTCATAAAGCAAATTTTACAGTGCTTTCATGCCTCTCCTGGAGTAAACATGCTTATTGTTGCTTTACTTACTTTCATTGATGCTTCTGCTGCTGGAATTTACCGACTCAGTGGGTTTTATTTGAGGGACTTTGGACTAAATAGATTTGCACCTTTTTAAATGTGCAGTAGTGGAGACAGAGGTGAATGTTTGGGAGTCAAGAAAGAATGCTAAGAAACTTGTCATTATTAAATTAAAAACATCTGAAACCTGACACCACTTTGTATTAGTAGAAGTAGTTTATATCTTCATTCATTATGTAATAGAACTGAGGTCACATGTTTCCAAAAATCAATACATTTACAAAAAAGAAAAAATAACTAAAAACTAAGAAGTGCAAATAATACATTGTAAAGTGCCATTGTGTAAAATTGGTGTAACCTTTTGCCCTTATTTTCTGATTATGTGTGAGTGTGGCTGTGTAGCTACAAATAAAATGCTTTTAGGGGATCAGCAAAGTTTTCTGCGTCTGAAAAACTGTAAATATTTGTGTTTTGGTTGTGGTGTAGTGTAGCACCTGGAGCAGGCCCAGTTGTTCCTCCAGCTACAATCTCCCCCACATCTCTCTAGAATGACATTGGCTTTATTTCAAAGGCATGGAGCAGGTGATGCCCCTGTTGCTTTAAGGGGTCCTTTGCTGATTGTAACCTTTATTTCTTCCACATTTACTTCACAAGTTAAAATGACAGTTAAAAACACTGAAAACATACAGAAATACTGTACATTTATAAAATACGAATCAATGCAATACCTTCCAGTGCAAACAGTATAGGTCACCAAAAAGCAAGCCTAAACAACTGAGTCCTTAAGGTTCTAAAATGAAGAGGGATTGCATTCCATAACATCTTTTTACATTTCAGGGTTCATCACAAAAAATCTGAAAAAGTCATTTATAATGAACAAAGAGACACTGAAACAGTTTTGCGTCAAATACGTGTGTGTGGCTCTCATGCACGTGCACAGAGGGGCTCGGCCATGCTTTGACAAATTAGCGGCTGGTGATCAGAGCGGAGTCAGAGCAGGAGCTAAACGAGCAGAGTTTGTTGCACTAAACAAGGAATTAAACAAGAAAAAAAGTTCAGGGTGAAAAGGGACACTGACATCCCCACACAATCCGACCTTTATGAAAGCTGTAGGTTCTCTGTCAGCTGAGGCCGAGCTGTTTTAGTTAACATTGACCCTAACTTTGACTTTGATTTTTCTATGGGTAATGTGAATTTAGTCTGCAGAACCACAGGCGCCCCCTGTGCCCGTGGGTGGGACAGCTATAAGCTAGTAATATCCTATCCAGATATTATAATAGATCCATGGGAGTGAGAGACAAATCCCCACAACAATTGTAAAGCTTTGTGACTCTGGTCTGTGAAAGGCGCTATATAAATAAAGATCACTTACTTATAGCTTGATTCAACGTTAAGTCAAAAACACCGGCTTTCTCCCTCCTGTACCTTTTTGTCACTCTTCACATGACGGTTCACGTGGGAGACAATGCGAATCAACTCAGTCATATAGTAACTCGCATTTCACTCAAGCTGTTTTCGTGGTTAGCGATTTAGCGAAAGGGATGAAGCGGACATTATGAAGCGCTAGCGTGGGATCAGCTCGCGATCTAAATGCAAATTGGACTAGCGGCTGTGAAAGCATTGTAGGAAGTTATTACCTACATGGCTGGCTTTGATGAAGAGCTGGAGGCGTTGGCGGCGAAATACCAAAGCGGAGAATCGCGACCATGTGATTAAGATGATTAATTACTCTTTAAAATGCATTCGTTCATGCTTCTAAGCCGGCTGCCGAGTGGAGCCC